AAAAAAAAAGTCTTCACCATATCACTCCTCATTAGCTTAGGAGGGATTAGGAGGGACTGGTTTAATCAGGATCATAATCCTACATTTGGTATCGTATTGGGCTAGAGTGAACGAGACTCGCCTCGACTATGAGATGCTCTGTTTCACTAAACCTAAATAGTATCTAGTCCCAAGCTTTCACTTAGGGAGCGTTTACGTAACTGTAATCGGAATCAAAACACGGAATTGAATTCCGATTACGGGGTATACCTTTGTTTACTAAACTTGGGGAGTAGGTGGGACACACACAAAAATTTGGAATTCAATTCCAAAATTTGGAGGATTTAGATTCCTTAGATTAACATGGTATTTGGATTCCTGATTGCTTGGGCAATCGGAAGGACACTTTTGTTTCCTTTATGCCCTCACTTACTTTTTTTTATTTCCAAGACTATCCTTTATAAACCCATTAACCCTAGTTTAATTATGCACAACTTCTTACCTTTTTTATTTCCATGCTCATTCACATTATGCACAACTCCAAGCATATGCCGAAGAGAAGAAACTACAACTTGAGCGAGAAAACTTAAATGTTAAAGTAAATACTTAAATTTATAAATAAATAAATAAACAAAAGCATTTTATTGTGCCTATGAAATAAAAAAGCAATTTAATTTTTTTTTCCTACTATTATATCAAATTTTGTTAAAAAAAAGTATATAAAATATTTGATTTGGGACAAGGGCATTTCTATTCCAATTCCAGAACATTTAAGTAAACAACTTCAACAGGAATTCGATTCGGACTACTTCTCAATTCAATTCCTCCTATTTCCTCATATTTTCATTACGGCTACATAAACGCGCCAGTAGTATGAAGCAGGACTGACAAGGAAACAGTCTCAACGACCTTACCCCACTCCTTCTCTGCATACGTCTCTCTTCTTCTTTCACTAATCACAAATCCGTGTTGCGAAGGTCAATTCTGCAAATTGCGTCTCGTCATGGACGTCGAAGAAGGATTCCCAGGCCGATTACAAGGGAGTTTTCCGCCGCAGCCCCAAAAAATGATTCCCACCACTCTGGCGTTGCAGCCATTACTCCCCTCGCAGGAAACGGCTGTTCCAGCGCCAAAAAATTTCTAGGAGGCACTGCAGTTGGTGCTGGGTTTGTGGTAGCTTACAAAACTGGAAATTGGGTCTCTCTCTTTCGGGTCTGATATTTATGGGTCGATTGTGATAGAAAACCATTTGGGTATTTTTTTCATACCAAATATTTCACAATTCTTATACGGCTTAGTTTAAATCAAGTCAATCTAACTTAATCTATGAAGCTAGTCTAGTTGGAGATAATTCAGTGTAACAAAGACACCCTTTGAATATTTTTCTTTAGCAAGATCCTTCATAAATACGTAAGCAATAAAGAGAAACAAATCTTCTTCTGTAAGATTGTATTTCATTGACTGAATAAACAATTACATGGATGTTCATTTATATAGCCTTTTGGCTCTTTACATTTATACCCTTAGCTTCCTTAACTAAACTTGTACAATCCTAACTAACCACAACTAATAACAAAACTAACTACATTTAGTTTTTCCAAACTATTTATCATTAACAGAAATGGATGATGTATCATCTGTCCTAATACACCCCCTCAAGCGAGAGGAGGAATCAGAAGTGATGCCAAGAGGAAGCTTGGAACACAAGTAGCGGAATCTGGTTTTGGACAAGGACTTGGTGTGTAGATCAGCCAATTGATCAGCACTGCACACAAACTGCACTTTAAGCAGATGAGCTAAAACCAGTTCTCTAATGTAGTGGTAGTCAATCTCGACATGCTTAGTGCGAGCATGGAATACAGGATTTGAAGCTAAGGAAATGGCGGAGATGTTATCACACCACAGAGTAGGCAGTGTAGGAATAGAACAGTGAAGGTCACGAAGAATTTTGCAGACCCAAGTGAGTTCTGCAGCAGTGTGAGCCAGAGACCGATATTCGGCTTCTGTAGAAGAACGAGCAACAATGCTTTGTTTCTTTGCACTCCAGCTGATGAGATTAGAGCCAAGAAAAACACAATAACCAGTAGTCGACCGCCGATCAAATGTGCAGCCAGCCCAATCAGCATCTGAGTAGGCAGAGAGAGCAACAAAACATTTGGTAAACCACAGTCCTTGGGAAAAAGAACCTTTGAGAAAACGGAGGACTCTTTTAGCGGCCTGAAAATGTTGATCACGCGGAGCATGCATGAATTGACATAACTGATTAACAGCAAAAGCAATGTCCGGTCTAGTCCAGGTGAGGTATTGAAGACCTCCAACAAGAGACCGATATTCAGTCGGATTGGAGAGAAGTGACCCAGTGTGATCCAGTTTTTGAGAGCCAAGAGGTGTGCAGCAAGGCTTTGCACCCTCCATATTTGTCCGCTGTAGAAGATCAAGTAAATATTTTGTTTGATGAAGAAAGATCCCGTGGGTAGACCTCTGAACTTCCAATCCCAAAAAATAGTGTAAAGGACCAAGATCCTTCACTGGAAATCTGTCACTTAGCTGCTGAATAAACTGATGATAGAGAGTGGAGTTAGGCCCAGTGACAAGAATGTCATCCACATACACAAGAACTATAACCAACTGAGGACCATGCAATACAAATAAAGATGCATCAGAGGAGGATTGGGTGAAACCAAGAGCATGTAATGCTTGAAACAGTTTATCAAACCAAGCGCGAGGCGCTTGTTTGAGTCCATACAACGATTTTCTGAGCTTGCATACATGATCGGGAAGGAGAGGATCAATGAAACCAGGGGGTTGTTGCATGTAAACAACCTCTTTTAAGTCACCATGAAGAAATGCGTTGCTAATATCTAATTGATTTAAGAACCAATTGTGTTGAACAGCAAGAGTAAGCAGAATTCGAATGGTAACCGGTTTAGCAACCGGACTAAAGGTTTCTTGGAAATCAATTCCCTCTTGCTGATGAAAGCCCTTGGCCACTAGCCGGGCTTTGTATCGATCAACAGTACCATCAGCTTTTGTCTTGACACGAAACACCCACTTGCAGCCGACGACATTTTGAGTGGAATGAGAAGGAACTAGAGACCAAGTCCCTGTAGATAGTAATGCATTATATTCATCTTGTATAGCAGCCCTCCAGTGAGCATACTTAGACGCTTGTAAATAGGTGCTGGGAACAAAATCAAGAGGAACTGAAAGTGGATGTTTAGTTGCTGCATAAGCCTTAGGTTTGGAAATTCCTGCCTTAGATCTAGTAATCATAGGATGAACATTAACAGAAATGGGAAGAGGGCGTGGCACAGGTGGTGATACATCAGAACTTGCAGGCAGAGATGCAGGTGGTGAGACATCAGGATTTGCAGTTGGTGATACAGCAGGACTGGCAGGCATAGAGGCAGGAGGAGAATCACCCGGTGAAGAAAGAGACCTCGGGCTAGAGGAAGATGAAGTAGCAGCCCCTGGATTAGCAGGTTGAGTAAACTTGCTAAAGTAAAGGTCCATGGAAGAAGAAGAAACTGGAGAAGCAGTGGCTGACCGAGAGTAATGAAGAGGCAGAGATTGAAAAGGATATGCGTCTTCATGAAAAATGACATGTCTAGAGATGTATACTCGGTTGTCAATAGGATCAAAACAGCGATAGCCTTTGTGTTGAAGACTGTAGCCTAAAAATATACAGCTCTTGCTCTTAGCATCCAGTTACTATGCACATAAGGTTTGAGCCATGGGAAGCATTGACAGCCAAATACTCTGAGTTTGGAATAATCCGGCGGCTGAGTAAATAAAATTTCCCAAGGAGAGATTGTAAGACCAGAGATGGGCAGGCGATTGATGAGGTATATGGCAGTCGAGAAGGCTTCTACCCAAAACACATGAGGTACATGAGAAGCAACAAGTAAAGTACGAGCTGTTTCAACAAGATGGCGGTGCTTCCTCTCGGCACATCCATTTTGTTCAGGAGTATGCGGACAACTAAATTGATGAAGAATACCATGTGTGCGAAGAAAGGAAGCAAAAGAGTTACCAGTGAACTCACCCCCTGAATCTGAACGCAAAGTTTGTATTTTATTTCCAAGTAAATTTTCTACATAGTTTTTGAAGATAACAAATGTAGAAAATACATCAGACTTTGCTTTCAAAGGGAAAAACCAGCTATATTTACTAAAATCATCAACCAGAAGTAAGTAGTACTGGAAACCACTACTAGATTTAACAGAAGCAGGTCCCCACAAATCACAGTGCAACAGTTGAAGGCTGCGAGTTGAAGTTGAAGAAGCCACTCCAAAAGGAAGCTTGTGGTTCTTAGCTAGAGCACAGTCTGAACAGAAGAAGTCAATCGAAGATTTACCATGCACTGCAAGCTTATTAGTAGAGATGACCCTGCGAAATATTGAAGAAGATGGATGACCGAGGCGTTGATGCCACACTTTGACAGGAGCTTTAACACTGAGAAAGGCAGAGTGTAATGAAGGAGAAGAGGTACTGGAACTTTGCAGGGGATAGAAACCATCTCTAACCGGTCCCCGCAAAAGCATCCTCCCCGAAGTACGATCCTTGACAGTGGATCCATAAGGGTCAAGAGTTAATTCACAATCATTATCCTTAAGAAATTGATAAGCAGATAAAAGATTATGTGCCATGGAATGAACATGAAGAACATTCTGCAGCTTAAAAGAATGATGAGGAGTATACAGAGAAGAGGAACCAACATTATGAATGGATAAACCTTTACCATTTCCAATATACACTTTGTCCTCTCCAGTGTAGGGAGTAGGAGAAGAGATGTTAGCAATATCATTGGTGATGTGAGATGTAGCTCCAGAATCAATTAACCAAGGCTGAGATGGTTTAGCAGAATGATGTACACACATGGCAGCAAGTTTAGCTGGAGGAATACGACCACAGATCTCGGGGTTCATGCGATCAAAGCAGTCAAGGGCCTCATGACTGGTAGATCCACAAATTTGACGTTGGACTTTGAAGGTAGAAGAACCGGGATGATTGCGCGAGCCTTAATAAATCTGATTACCACGATTAGGATTGAAATTACCACGAGAATTGCGATTTCCTCGATTGGAAATGAATTGACTCCTGGGAGGCTTGCCACGATTGGAGTTGTACCGAGAGGCAGAGTGAAGTGGTAAAGACTGAGCAGCAAATGTCGAGGGAGTAGGAAGCAGAGGAGGCTGAGACTGCACAGAAAAAGCCTGAAATGGTTCAACCACAGATGCTGAAGCGACTGTCTTCCGTCGAGCCATAGAAAGCTCCTTGGTACGTAAGAGACCGTGAAGTTCATCCAGAGACGTCGAAGACAAACGAAGCATTATAGAATCAATGAAGGACTCAAACTCATCAGGCAAACCATGTAAAGTAGCAGCAATTAGATCACGATCAGAGACGGAAGCACCTGCAGCATGTAATGAATCTGCAATTTCCTTGATTTGCTGGAGATATCCCGAGATAGAATTTGAGCCTTTCTGTACCGATTGAAGGCGTGAGCGCAATTGATGAATATTAGCCTCCGAAACACCACCAAAACGCTGTTCAAGCTTCACCCAAAGCTCGCGAGAGGACGAAACGCCAACCGTGAACGGAATAATCTCTTCAGAAAGTGTGGAATTCAACCAGATCAGCAGATTTTGATCTTTTTCATACCATTCTTCAAAAGCTGGATTCAGTGAGCGATCAGCCAAGAGAGGCGGTGGACAGATCTCAGTGCCTTCAATCATACCGAGAAGTTTATAACGCCGGAAAATAGGAGCAAACAACGCTTGCCATGGAAGATAGTTGGAGCTTTTCAGTTTAATCGGCACCATACTACCAATGTTGTGAATCGTCAGAGAAGTGTACGAATTCAGATAAGGAGGATTAGAAGAGAAATTAGGGTTTGGAGTCGGAGAAGATCCAATTGGGGACGAATCTGACGGAGAAGCCATGATCTCGAACAAGAATCAATCGACGAACAGAAGAGAAATCAGAGAAGAAAGAGTGAAGAATCAGAGTTGAAACACCAAGAATCGATCAAGAGAAGATCGATCGATGCGGAAGATGGATACGATGCTGTGAAGCAAAAAAGGCGAGATACCATAAAGAGAAACAAATCTTCTTCTGTAAGATTGTATTTCATTGACTGAATAAACAATTACATGGATGTTCATTTATATAGCCTTTTGGCTCTTTACATTTATACCCTTAGCTTCCTTAACTAAACTTGTACAATCCTAACTAACCACAACTAATAACAAAACTAACTACATTTAGTTTTTCCAAACTATTTATCATTAACAGAAATGGATGATGTATCATCTGTCCTAATAAGCAAGACTATCAAAACTTTGATGAGGCTTCGCTCCTCCATCCTTTTCCATCTTTCTTATACTATCATAAAAGTTAGGTATGTTTTGGGACGAAAGGATTTGAACCTCTGAATAGTGGGACCAAAATATGTTACCTTTTAAAGATTTCAATTATACATCCCGCAATCATCTTTTGTTCGAATGCGATGGACAAAGTTTCATATCGGTGATGAACCAAATCTTGTAAGAGCTTACAAGTAGTAGGACTACTCCGTATATGTTAATTGATTTATGGTAGAACCTTAACTTTCTTTAATTTTCACTTCATTAGACAAATGGGTAGATGTGAATTTAATTTGCAATTATTTTTTCATTCTTTGAACAAATTAGTAATGTTTTATAAACTCATTTAAAATCTTAAGTAAATACTCTGAAAGAAATTTTTTATGAGGAGTGTATTTAACAATATGCGGGATGTTTATGAAAAATTTTTTAAAAAATACAAAACAAAACAAAAGCGAATATATCTACACTTTTATAAACACCCTTACAACTTTGATTAATACCTTGATCCCAAGGGGTCTCTGTAAGTTTCTTTTCGACACCAAAAGAAGAAAAAATATCATCTGAGCTTTAATGCTATACAAGATTTTCATCATTTCTAAAATTGCTTAACAAAACAAGCTATCTTTTTTTTGTCGAACAAAACCAGCTATCGATAAATACAGTAAATGTAAGAACACCACTATTACCGCAACCGCAAGTAAGCTTGAGTCAAAATGGGGAAAGATTGTCAGTTCCAGTTGGTAAATGTGAACATATGAAAAATGATCGGTTCCTTTTTCTAGAGATGTAGCAATTGTGTCTGTTTATCGTATATTTTGCGATCAATTTTCATTAGGTACTATTTATATTTGAATTTTAAATTTTAAATTTTAAATAATTTCTGATCGCACAATGTACAATAAATAGATAAGATTATAAAATTCTTAAGAAAATGATCTTCACTAGATTTTTTTTGTGAACATATAGCTAAAGCCACCAAAGAGGAGAGAGAATCACAGAGAGAGGGAAAGAGAGAGAGAGAGGAGCGAATTTCTAGAGAAAAGTGTAGGTAGTACGTGTGTGAAGGGTGAAGGTAGCGTCTCGTGGGTTTTGGTCGACATGTCAAGCGGTACCAGTCACTTCTTGTCTTCCCCTTCTCACTGTAACTGACACTCTTGACAGTCTTTCATGGGTCCCCTACTCTCTCTGCGACCACTCAGCTCTCACGGGCGGCACCACCCTCTCTCTCTCTCTTCATGGTCCCCATGCAATTATAGCGTAATGATTTTTACCTTGTGAATTGCTGGCTGTAAAGGCAACTCACTTTTCTTTAGGGTTTAACCTTTTCAAATAAAAACTTGATTTCATCTTTAGAAACTTGTCCACTTCTCTTGTAAATTATTGTTTCCATTATTATATACCGTAGATATATATTGATAAAAAATAAGGAGAGAATGGGTTCTAGCGGTCCAGCTGAGTCTATGGCTGACCGACTTTGAGAGAGCAGCCGTATTTGATAAGGATAGAGAGAGAGAGAGAGAGAGGAAATATTCTCTTTTGCCTTCATTTTCAGTTTGGTATTTTTCCTTCCAAGTGCAAGCAAGGACTTTTCCCAGAAAACAAAAAAGCTTGATTCTGCAGTTCTTAATTTGTTCTCAAGGATTCAATACACAAAAACTGAGATTTCTTGTATTGTCTTCCAGAGTAGTAAAGCTTTCTGTTTTTTTTTTACTTTCTTAATTTGTTTTAGCGGGTATTGCTTCTTCTGTTGTTACTTTTGCTGATCTAGCAAGTTTATAACACAACCCATTACTACTAATAAGCTCAACTTCCAGATGATGTCCGAAGATGCGCGTTTAGTTCCCTCCATCATCACAGGGTTTTCTCAAGAGCCCGATTCCAGTCCTAACCCTAACCCTAATACAAATAATCAACTCAAAAGGAAGAGAAGTTTACCTGGAACACCAGGCAAGTGTGTTTTCATCTCTACCTTGCAACTTCATACACTTCTTTAGCTTCGAATAGTATATTAATCAATATTCCTTTTTTGTTAATTATTCTCTTTCTTCATATTATGTTTGATGGGACTTCTACTCAATTGCAGATCCAGATGCAGAAGTGATAGCTATGTCCCCAAAATCCCTAATGGCCACAAACCGATTCGTTTGCGAAATTTGCAACAAGGGTTTCCAGAGAGACCAGAACTTGCAGCTTCACCGACGTGGCCACAACCTTCCATGGAAGCTCAAACAAAGATCAAAAACAGAAGTGATTCGGAAGAAGGTGTACGTGTGCCCAGAAAAGACCTGCGTGCACCACGAGCCATCGCGAGCGCTCGGAGACCTCACCGGAATAAAAAAGCACTTCAGCCGAAAGCACGGCGAGAAGAAGTGGAAGTGTGAGAAGTGCTCAAAGAAATACGCAGTTCAATCGGATTGGAAGGCACATAGCAAGGTTTGTGGGACTAGAGAGTATAGATGTGACTGTGGCACACTCTTTTCCAGGTACTACTGTTTATTTCCAATTTAATCTCTCACTTCCTCTCCTTACAAATTCCCTCCTTTTATATGATTAATTTGGGGAGAGAATATACATTTAATGCTCTCACGTAGAAACTTTTGGGGTTCTATTTGAATTTAATGCCTGTATGATTACTCAAGTGTACGACTTTATCATGTATGTTTCAAGTACTGCTGAACTCATCCAATTTGTGGGATTTTTTAGTTTGCACCGGGTGTCTACCACACACGGGATCCTCGACTGCCAGATCCTTGTTCATTTAATTTTTTAAGCATATTCAGCCATTCATACCCAAGAGCATATTCAACTATTCATTACTTCATTACATTGCCATACACTCGAGCATAATATAATTTGTTTACTAAGTTTCTCTTACTACTCAACTGTGCTTTATACATGCATATAATGCACTGTTAGACTCTTCAGCATGTTGACCAAATTTTGTTAAACAGGAAGGATAGCTTCATAACACACAGAGCCTTCTGTGATGCTTTGGCGGCTGAGCAAAGTGCAAGATTCTGCTCAGCTCCAACTACCAATAATATCAATCCAAGCTTCATGAATGGGTCTATTGCCAATAATACCCATAAACCACAGAGAATCCCACATTTTATACCAATGTTTCAACCGGAATTTGCTGGCTCTGACCATCTAGCAGCCAACAATCATCTCAGTTCCAATGCTTTTATACCTGAAATGCTGCAAACGGCATCAATGGACATGTTTGGATCATCTTCATCATCTCAGATGCAATGGCTCATCAACAATAACAAGTTCGTGGAAGAATCATCATTTGCAAATGCCAACAGTCTCTCTATGTCATCGCCATCATTACTGCGGGGAGTGCTTAAGGAGGACGAAGAATCCAAAGGGAGTTTCTCTGAAACAATAAGTACTACTACTAACACCTCTTTCTATACTAACAACAATAACAAACAGAACCACCACCACCACCACCAACCCATGTCAGCCACAGCACTTCTGCAAAAAGCAGCTCGAATGGGATCTACAACCAGCAACAACAACAACCCAGCTACAACATTCAACGACACCACCTTGAACTTCAATGATATGGTGAATTCTACGTCTTCCTCGTCAACTCAAGGAGCCACAATTGAAGATGGGTCACTGTTCTTGAGCAACAAACACTTGATGATGCCAGCTGGAGCAGCAGCCATGACAAAACAAGGAACAAGTGAGCAAAGTAGTTTAACTAGAGACTTTCTTGGAGTGGGAGGAGGTGATGCAATATTTGGTGGCGGAGTGCCTTTCTTTCAACAAGAGCTAGCAAAGTTAGCTTCCATGAGTGACTTGAGCCAATACACTAGTACTACTACCAGTAGTCGGCATCAATGACATCAATTACAAGGTAATTATAATTCTAAGAGAGACTTTGTTGTACCTATAACTAGAGTTTTAGACGAAATGAATACTAATGGAAAGTAGATTATTAGGAGGCTAACGAGTCTGAGTTGCACTCTATAAAGTGAGTCAACCCGTGGAGAGAGAGAGAGAGAGAGAGAGAGAGAGAGAGAGAGAGAGAGAGAGAGAGAGAGAGAGATAGAGAGAGAGAGAGCGCTAGTGCAGGTTGGGAGAGACCTAACAAAAAGAGAATTCATGGGTTTGAAAGAGGGAGGAGGGAATAGGGACCCTCCCTGCATGCATGTTGTAGATTTTATTTTGTCTTTCTTTTCATTTGATAAACGCTGAAGCCTAGCATGTGTCATATTTGCTTGTGAGTTGTGACCCATGTCGCTGCCTTTTCTCAGTGTCAACATTTGCCACCGTCAATTTCAAACAAGGGAATCTAATGTACGTTGGTGTGGACCTGATTCAGAAAAAGTTCAATGACAATGGAGTTGGTTCTACTTTATTTACTAGATTTGAGGTAATTTGCATTCCCAAGTAATTAGTAATGTTTATTGTTAGGTTAACGTGAATGTTTGGCAATTGTTATATTCAACAAACAAGCTTGTGGTTTATAACAAAAATATCTTCTTCCTATTTGTTTATAATACATCACTCTAATCCAGTCTTTTATCCCTGACAAAATAAGAATATCCTGGGCTCTTTTTATTAGTTTTGTAAAATACAAATTTTTTTTTTTGTTTAAATAAACTGTTATATTACCAATCATGTGCCATTAAATAAAAAACTAAATTGATCTTAAATATCACCTACAAAACTATCAAATACCGTGGGTGTCTAGAAAATTAATGTACAAAAAGACCAAAAGATGCTATTTCTCACTCAAGGAGGACGTCTCTCCCTCACCACATGTGCCAGGGATTTCGGCCGAATCTATATCATCAACATGCATCCTTGTGTGACCCCTAGCATTCTCTTGATCTTAACAAGCTTTTATCGTTGTGGAACGCCATTTGTCTTGAATCCCAATTAAATTGTTAGATCTAGACAACTCTAGCAAGGTATGAGTTGAGTCCAAGAATTTTGATAGTTGAGCCGGATAGGTCACCTTAATCTATGCGGGATGGTGCAGTTGTGCCCGATCAGTGGAACAATGGTTGAGGTGATGGCGGCATATGGCCAGGATTTGCAGATCTAAGTGATCACAATAAGTAACGATATCTGTCAAAACAAGGAGCAACACATATCTCCCAAGCGCAACTGTTGTAAGGGCGGAGCCAGAATTTTTTTTTTGGGTGGACTAGTTGAAAATAGTACCATAAAATCATATGTTTATTTTTTTTGCTTATATAAAATATATAATAATCAATATAAAAGAACAACAATATAATATAAACTATTCTCAAAATCATAACCCTAACCGATAAATTCAAGGACCATATAAATAATTAACCTACTAATTAAATCAAGAATAAGTAAATAAAGAGATTAAGAACGTACCAAATGTGACATTCATTGAAAAAGTGCAACGGAAAGTTAGGAATTGCAGAGATAGGGATTTAATTGTGTATTTAAAGAACTTATTAATCTTTTCTTGAGTAAGAAGCATAGAGGCTAAACCACATAGGGTAAATGGTCTTATTTAAAGAATATAATAAAGGGGAACTAGAGATAGAACTAATTTATAATTTTTAGCATAAAACTATTATTTACTATACCTCTCCTCTACTAAATATACATTAAATAATAATATGTATTGAAATTGAGTAGGCTATAAGCATGAGTTTACAAAAGAATAGATCTATTCACAAATCCATTTTTACTTCCAATATAGCCTTATTAATATTTTGTCAGTGATCATTTTCATTTCATTCGATCTGAACAACCGACCATTTAGAGAAGTGTGTAAGAAGTAAAAAATGAGTGCATGGATAACATTACCCTTACAGAAAACCTCCCTCGGCTACAGCCCACCTTAACCTTGTGGGTGGCTACGCCATTGTGTTGTAGAACTTTTCTTATAAGTTTTCGTTTTTCTTTTAGCTCGATCATTTTAAATCAAAATAAGTTGTAGCAACTTAACTTGAGTTTGTTGTGCAAGTTTTTGTCTCTTCCTGTTAAAGCTTCTAGCATTAATTTTTAGTTTTTTTCCTGATGGTGGTTTACACAAGCTTCGCTTTTCATTAGGAAAGGTTCGTTAGTTATTGGGATGAGTCTAAGGAATAACTTAAGTAGTACAGACGGAATTGCAAAAATGTTTCAATCCTAATAAATGTATTACGTATCCTACGGATCTTAAGTCCTAAACTATATTCCTAGTCATAGGATGATCGAAAGGACTATCGAACATCCGCAAAGGCCGGTTTATGTCGTATTCAGTCGTATGTCTCAGAGTAAGCATGTAGTGACATGGAATAGACATAAGGGTGCTAGGAGATCGAACTCATTGAAAATTGACCAACTATAGAAGTATACGAATGAAAGATTACCTACTTGTCAATTGTACCACACTTCTGATTTATGGATGCAACTAGTTCTTAGACCTGAGCCGCTATTATCTCGAGTTGATAAATGTGATCTTTGGTCTCGCCTAAAAGCTCTCAAACAGTATAGCAATCCTATACTGTGAGTTTCAGGATCATTTGATCACATTCATGCTTAGAGTTTGACAAAGGGTGGTGCTATCCACACCAATTTTTACCTCCGACACGCCATTGTCAATTTATGTCCCTTGATCTTCTTCAATTCATTCAATTGGATAGTCGTAAATTGAGAGAGGTGTGTGTGAATTAAATATTGGTGTGTGGATAGCATCACCCTTGACGAATGTTCCATGCTCTGTCAGAATATAGTAGACAGAGGACAGAATTGTATTGTAACCATAACTAAGGTTCTAAATATGTATTGTATAAATTCAAAAATATTTTGACTAATCTGGTAATCGAAAGCCATTGCTAGATGTTACTATTCGGTTTATGGATAATCCTATAAGGTTGAATTAGAATGGTTTCTGACTATGTAAATTAGACTAGTTTGATTAATCAAATTATTCATTGCCCCTTCTATTTATTATTGGTTAATGTACCAAAGTAAAATAAGGAAGTTCAGTCCAGAAGAAAAGACCGGTAACTTAAATAAATAAAATAAGAAGCGAATAAGACCGAAGCCCAGTGGCAAAGGAAAGGTGTGACAAGGGCAAGAAGGGGTTCCCTAGGGCTTGCAGCATATGTGTGGTAAAAGATGCATGATTAAGTTGTAATCCTACCGGCTTATGGAATTGTTCTATATATAAGCCTAAAGGGTCTTTAGACCTTGTGTGTGGTTTTACATATTGTGAAATCAAAATTTAGAGAGAAAGGAATTAGGTTTTCCAGTTTGGAGAAATTGAAAAATAAAGCACCACACAATCTTACCCTTGCCGCTGCACATATTGGAGGAGAAGGACCCAACCGTTCGTTGTCTTCCAGTTTCACCAACCAGAGATTTATTCGTGTGTATACTAATAGAGGGCTAACACTTGGGAACCTCAACAAGGAATTCATATTTATATGAAATCTAAAAGTTGGAATTCTAAATTTAATTTAAGTATGCATGTGTTCTTAAAATTATTTTACAAGAACACGAGCACATCGATTAACCTAGATCATGTGGATTAATTTAATAAGATTAAACGGAATCCAAAGTTTCGCTAACCATGCATGTAAATTGGATTATATATGCTTAATTCACCTTGACACGCTTCCGCACACATGTGCTAAAATAGTCCACAACCCAACATTCATCCCTAAAATTGGGCTACATCCATTGAGATGCTTGTATATATTAAATAAAGATTACAAGAAGTGCTCGGTATAGTCTAACCTCCATTTTCACTCTTATGTCTAACCCTTATAAAAGGTACTCATTCCCCTTATATAGGCCCTTAGTGAGCCCCAAAATTTTTTGGGCTTTAGTACTCTACCGCTCTCGCATTTAATGAACCAAGTGCGTAAACATGACTTGCTAGCTAGTTTTCTATCCCTTAGTTGACACGTGGTGATGAAGTGACCTTCGTCCAAGTCTAAATGCATGTTTTTGTAGGCCAACGTTATGTGTACCAAGTGTCTTGCTCGAACCTGGAGTTTGAGGAAACCCACGTCTGAGTGCTTTTGACAACTTCTATGTCCCTTCATAGGCTTCTGCTCTCGCCAATGGCCAACATGCAATCTGGGGTTGATGTCTAAGTAGGCCTACTCTTTGGCCTTTGTATTATAAAGTTGTCAGTATGCCAACTTGCCACCAGCTTCTTTATTGGTAGGAAAATCAGATCGTTGAGCAGTCGTCCGTAGCGCTTGAGGTGGCCCTTTCTTATTCCATGGGCCTTGGTCTTTCTTTCTTTATTTGTCCTTGGTCTTCCTTTCTTCCTTTGGGCCTTTATTGAGCCTTTTTTAGGTTTGTACTATTTTAGGATCGAAAATGATCATGCGTTAACAAGCATATATGTACTAGTCCCTTGTGGTTGGTGATTGAAAAAAAATACAGTAAAATTTCTATAAAGTCATAAAGTTGGGACCAAATCAATTTTATAACTTTAGTATTACTTAGTAGAGGTATAGTTTACTTGCTTATCCTTAATAAAGTTGTATTTCCTAAATATGATTCATTGGACGTCAAATATTTTATTTCTTGAATATATATACTTTCTTGTACTCCAAAGGCATTGTTCTTTGATTCCCATTGCCCGTTGTACATGTATATAAATGTTGTTGAATGCCCTTTCTTTCTTCTCTTTCAGATATATCATGTCATTCAAGATCCATATGAAAAATCAGTAAACTGAAAATATTCATGCTGAGTTATGCAAAAAGAAAGCACCAAACCCAACTAGAAGCAAAAGTTATAACTATGTAGAAGAGTTAGTTTCTTCAGCAGGATTACTTAAAGAAATATGATCAAGATTTAAGTCTGACTAAAATTTGGAAGAAACTCTAATAACTCTAATGGGGTGCGGGTTATCGTTCCTTAACAAAAGATGGTGTCCAGATTCCTATATATGCCAGCAAACAATAGGAACTTTGCAAAGGAACTTTCGATCAATTTCAAAAGAGGGATCCCAATTATGAAAACTAGTCAGTCAATCCAAAAAATCATTAGACACAGAAGGCCCCGGACAATCATGAAGATGCAGCCAGACAGAAGAAGCAAAAGAGAAAGAGAAAAAAGATAAAAAAAAAATGAAAGAAAGATGATTAATAACTCTAACTCTATACGACAGAAAGCACAAGAGGGGTCAAAGGTAGGAGATTGAATCCGTTAACTATCTTTAGTATGAAGACGACCCCTTATTAACAACCGAGAAAAAATACGAACTTGAGGTTCCAATTTTGCATTAAGGTTCTGGTCCAGCGGAGCGGTGGAATGATGAGGCGGAGAAGAAGAAAGCTTCTAAAGGGAGGGTCCTGTGTTGTATGCCATACCTATGGAGAAACGGTTATGCATTTAATGCGACACTGCAGTTATGCTAAGTGCGCTTGGTCGGCATCAAATTTGGGAATAATTTTCGAGTGATGCTCGGTCTATTTCTTTCCTTGAATGGGTTTCTGAAATAGCCGAGAACCTCCCAGACGATTGTTTTGGTGTGTTCCTAATGATCTGTGTAGCTTTATGGGAAGCTAGAAATG